TGCATGCAGGGACTTTAATAAAAAATAAAAACATTTTCTCCCACTGATTAAATGTAACCAAATTAATTACATTTTTGGGTATTTTTTTCAGAGAAAATGACCTTAGAATAAAAAGCTATTCATTTGTTTCCAGCTTTTTTCCCCCCAAACTTCTTTACCAGAGGTGTAGCAAAATAGGTTTTATAAAAAAAATTCCTGGTGAGCATTTGCCAGTAAATCTGCACGCATAAACTCATTTAGCGAGGGACGACAACACCGCAGTCCTTGCAGTGAAATGTTGGAATCAAACGTGTTGCATGGTTGGTCGGGTTAGGAAAACTCCTCAGGCACTCGTCGGATTACGTCTCGGGGCATGCGACACGAACGACACGTGCCAATTTTTATGTTCATTTCTTCTTCACAAATTTCACTGCAAAGTTGGTCTCCTGTGCGTCACAGGGAGGCTGAAAATAACAGCGAGCGATAACCTGGCACAGCACATCTCCACAGATTCTTCCCCGAGGTGATGCAAGACTTTAGACAAATGTCTTGTTTGTTCGCCACTGAATGGCCATCTTTCAAGGGGGTGGCATGCCAGCACGAGCGCACAAAGACACACCGGAGCGGCTCATTTTTCTCCCTCATGAAGTAGGTAGCAAGAATATTACAAACCAAAATCAGGATGCATTGCCACCGGCCAGAGTTTGGATGAGTGAGAAGAGTAATCAAATTACTTTCAGACAGACAGACAGACAGAAAGACAGATAGACAGACAGATAGATAGATAGATCATAAAAGTAGATTTTGCAGGTTTCTGTGTGCATTAGTGTGAGAGTGACAGCAGAGAGACGAATCCCCCCATTAATAACAGCCACTAATCCCCTGATGTGATTACCTCTTCATCTCAGCCCCCCTTTCTCTCCACTGTCTCCCTCCATCGAGCCACTCTTTCTCCCATTCAGCATCGCCAGCTACTTGTCTTCCATGGCAGAGCTCAGCTGGCCCAATCCCCTGAACACATCCAAGACTTCCACTGTGTTCAGCTGCCAGGACGATGGAGCGCCTCCAATCTGACGCCTCTCCTCACCAGAACTTAGCCTCTGGGCAGGTATCTTTAAAAAAAAACAAATAAATAAAAAAAGTCAGTGGTGTTAGTGCAGAGAAAGGCAGCAAATTTAAGCAGATTAAGAGCCATGTCTCTGTTCAAAGCCCTGACACTTAATGCAGTCTGAATGAGAGGTGACGTGTGATATGAATCGTGCAAGATATGGTTTTGGATGTTCGAACGTTTATGGAAATATCTGCAAGCATTAAGGATTATGGGTGTGCAAAGGGAAGCAACAAGCCTGTCAGTATAGCTATTTCTGTCCTCAATAACTGGCTGCCAAATGCAATTTTTTTTTCAGCCTTTGATAAACTCGCTACATCAACCTAAAGTGTGTTTCTATGGAAACTTAGACCTCTAAAAAGGTTCAGATTTGCCATTTAGCTCAAAATCTGCTCAACAGTAACATACTATGATAAGACTGTACTATGTATTCGATTTACATGTGCAGTCAGTTAGAAATAACATGTAATTATACAGTTTAAATAGATCTTTGTTAACTATGCATAGATGTGCGTTGATGTGGATATGAATAAAAAGGTTTAAAAGACTCCAAGGAGATACTTATGTGATAGAATGGTTATTTATCTATTATATTTTTAGTGGGTTATGTTTTTTTTCAGTCTGTTATCTAATGCCTTAGACTTTAAAAGCTCCTGGTTTAAAACAACCTGAGTTATACTTTACTAACATCCCTGGGTGAACTAGGAACCGGCCCTGGGGTTGATTTAGCAGAACCGGGTTGGATCATGGGTTTGACTCAGCAACACGGACTGGACTAAGATTATCTATCAACCACAACGTGGTCATCTCCTTAGGTTTCTTTTTTTGTCTAAGCTTTTTGTTAAATAATCAGATCAAAAAGCTTACAAAACAACTAACAAGACACTTTTTAAGGCTAAGAATGGATTCTTGATTTAAAATTAACACACACATATTCACATCTCCAAAACTATGCAAATCTGAGCTTAAACTATTGGCTGAAAAGTGCTTCAAGTTACATCCTCGGTTTAGGCTGAAAATGCATCATCAGTCTTTAGGGGGTTACATATGCTACCTTTGTTGTGTTGTGGTTTGAGGCAATTTCATTACAACTATGCGGCTCATTACCTGTCAAAATAAAATATATGTACAAAGCTCCTGTTAGCATCAGTCTCCTGGTTCAATGTGTTTGTCATAAATGGACCATCTTCCTGCGTGTGGCTTAACCCCCTGATATTGAGTCTTAAAACCTGAGATTATGATGTCCTCATAAATACCTTGCAAACATTTGCACAGTATATGGTAAAATGTTGATAGCATAGTTCCTTTCAACACCTTGTTGATTGGATGCCATAAGGCAGAGGCATCTGTCTTCCTGGATGCATCAGCTGCAGTAAAACTCTGGTTTATATTCATTTATTCGCGTTTTAGCAAAACCAGCACAGTAACTACTAAGCAAGTGTCAGAACCGTATGCTGAAAAGGTAGAATATTTAATGTTAAAGAGTGCATGGCAGTGAGATCTTGGTTTAATTAAGCTACAGAGGAACACTACTGTAACATTTAAGTTTTTTCTTCTTTTTGGGCTTGGCCTGCTGATGACTCAATGGTAACTGATTATAGATGTGTTGCTTCCCGTCTATCTTAAGGTGTAATTGACTATTGTTTTCTTGTCAGCTAGTCATTTTTTAAAATGTAATTTACTTTTTGGTCTCACTTCCGGGATTTCAACAATGCCATCTTTTCATTTCTGGTCGACATGAATGTTCCAGCTCTAACAAGATGAAAAGTTTTCTTTGAGCTGCTGCAGTTTGCAGGGGGTTCAGATAGAGACTTGAATCAATTAGTGGTCCTTTCATCAACAAATAGGCCATACCTCAGTTCCTTCCCCCCCCCTCTTTTCTTCTTCCACCTCAACTTCTGGTCCTTTTCATTTCAGTCCTGTTCAATTCTATCATCTGCTCTCTTTCTCTTGACTTCATACGGCGCGTTGGAAAGGCCAACATCTGGCTGCTTCTTAAGTCCAGGCCCTTGCATCCGTTTCTGGGGTAACAGGGCCTGCAGATCAACCCCTGCTGTGGAGCTCAGCCTTTGGTGTATGTGGGGCTGATCCGAGTCTCCATTTCCTGACTCTTGGTGCCTTGATGTGGCCAGAACCACATTGCATGATTAATTACAGCTCTCCGTCCCCGCTGCCGGTACTGCCGTTATTGTAACCATGCTTTCCCTCCTCGGCCCTCAGTCTCTCACCTGCAGCATGAAGCCTTCAGCAGAAACCGCTGACGCAGCTCTGAAAAACTTACATAAGTTGTGCTGTGCTGTTACCCTAATGGATGTTTAGTCACTGACGTTAGAAGGAGGTGGATGTTCAAGTTGGGAATGAGGCGACAAAGCTGTTAGGGCAATGACATAGATTGCTAAGTGAGTGCAGGTCCGCAACATCAGCTGTTTCCATTTCTTCTGTGTCAGCTCTCCTCACTTTGTGTATTGACTCCTGATTTGTTTCACTGGCTAAGTTCATGGCAAGAAGAGACCAAATGGCTGTACGGGTGGAGGTGGAAGGGGGGTTAATTGGTTTTTGGCTGTGTGGCCAATCAAAGGGACCTCATCAAAGACATGCAGCGAATGCATCCCACAACCTTCCTTGCCTCTTTTCTTCCGTTTATATAAGTGCCACACAGTGTAATCAGCATGGCGGAAGCAGGAAGTGAGAGAGGAGGACAGAGACATCCTTGACATCCAGGGAAGCACCAGGACAGGAACAGGGACTATTTGAGTAAGCAAAGCCACACTGAGCAGGCAAAAACTTTGAAAACGGAAGTGGACTGCTGAAATGACAGGACTATGGGGAGGGATGTGGGATAGCTGTGTTTACAGACGACGGTCACACAATTTACTGTAACTTTGGATTTTGCCAGCCCTGCGTTTGCTGATGGGCTACCACAGCTAACCAACAATCAAGCTCTATTTACATCAATGTCGACCATTATCCCTTTTTATCAGGAAGTGTGGCACTTCAGATGAACATAAACAACAAAGTCTATATATTCAGAGGACGCAAATGCGCCAAAAAGGGAGTAAAGAAGTCATTAAGACTTCAGTCATACATATATTTATAAATGCATTTTATTTCTGAGGCAAGTGACTTAAAATCATTGCTGTCCTGCTGTGATTCTCTGCTGGTGGGAGCCACTCTAAAAGGCAGCTGCCTCAAAGCCCAACAGAGGTATCAGATCTCACCCTTTTCCTCATATCCTTAATTAGGACAATTAAGAGATTTGCAGGACAGATGGACTGAAATCCAGCTGGCTGCAGTGTGTGCCCCGGAGGATTGCTCCGATGATGATGAGAAGAGATGTTTGTGAATATTGGACAGGATTGCATCAACTGAATGGTGGGACTCTGGTGCCCTCTGGTGGACACACAAGAACGATGGGTTGTATTTTCTTTTGGCTTTTTGTACCGGTAATTGGGAGAAGTGGAGTTGTGCGTTCACCGGACAGAGGGTTTGAAGAGACATATTTTTAATTGATAATACGTCATTTGATTATATTCAAAAGATTTGTTTGTGTAAATACCTCAACAGGCCATCTGAAAAAATTCCGTACATAATTTTTACCCGTGTATAAAGTTTATGAATAATTGCAAACAGCTTGCATTATAATTGCTCACACATGGTGTGCAGATCCCAGCTGGCTGGAATCATTAAATTCACTGAAACTAAGGACCATCTAATCAGTTATCTGATGTAAAATTAGAAAAAATTCCTGTAAAATTATCAGTTTATTAAAAATCCCTAACAGGAAATATTTAATCTTTCATTTGACATAAAAGTTCGTCAGCTTTCAACAAAAACTCACAGTGTCTAAGAAAAGTATCAATATTCATTGGACTTATGTAAATATGTGAAGAACCACAAACTTTGTTGTATTTTATTGGGATTTTCATGTAATACAGTAGACCAACACATTATGTTTAAAGGTGCTTAACGATGTTTAGAAAGAAAATGAGTTTTTTTTAATAAAATGTTCAGTCAAGAAAATAAAACAAAATTAAACAGAATAAATTATCAATAATCTTTGACAGTGAGGTTATTGTAGCAACAGTGAAAATCTGCCAAAATTTGAAGTAGACTCCTGCATGTAATAAGATCACAAGTAGATTCCACTGCACATGTGGCGTCACCACTTGTTCAAAGATGATAAGCTGTTTCTTTAAGGTGCATTTAAGATGAATTTCATTACTATTGTTTTATCTGTCATGCCAAGCAAAGGTTGAATTCTGATGTTTGCCAAAAGAACCACAGACATCCTAAAAACATCAACATTATGTCCCGCGGTGTTTTTGGAGCATACAGTGAAACACAACCAGCCGAGGAGGATGAGAAACCAAGACCTCCTTCTTCATTGGTCACGGTGAGAACATTGCTGGCTTTACTGGTTCCCAGACTGTTTTTAGCAAACATTCGAATGTCGTATGTTGAAGGATTAAACTCTATCAACGTGGCCTCTGTCTCATTGGCGTCAAAATCGATGACAGTTTCTGTGTTATCCCATGAGGCTGTTAAAAAATTGACATGTTTCTGAATCATTTTATCAAACATATCAAAATAATCAACAGTGGATGAGAAACAAAAAAGCAACTTCATTCCAATAAAGTCTTCTCACCATTTTGTGCTTTGTACTCCAGGTAGAAACCGGAAATGGGGCTGTCGCCTTCAAAACCAGGGGTCCAGAAAATTAAAATGGTGTAGTTTATCACCTTTCGCAACCCAATTATAGGTGGATCCGGAAGTACTAGGGAGAGAACAGCCAGGATATTCAGTAACTAAGAGTAATGCATGTTTTGAATATTTTCATCCATTTTCCAACACCCTTGTCCCTAGTGGGGTTGGGAGGTGCTGGTGTCTTTCTCCAGCGAACATTTCGGGCGAGAGGCGGGGTCACCCTGGACAGTCGGCAGTCTGTCGCAGGGCAACTGAATATTTCCATGTTAGAGTAACTAAAGCTTAATGATCTATACAATACCAAAAAATGCATGGAGGAAAATATTGATTTCATCAAACAATTCTTTCATACCCACAGAGAGGCTTGTGTGTGTTGCTGTGGTTGTAGCAGTAGTGGAAGTGGTTGTACCGGTAGTTGCTTGAGTTGGAAAAAGAACAACATTTTTAAAATTGGCAGAGGAACAAATTATACAGTAAGCAATTATTTTTTAAAACCTCATGTCTCCCAGCGTACCTTCACCCAGAGTAGAGCAGAGAGGTGCGGTCGCAGCAGGTCCTTCTCCTGCGTTTGTCCAGGCCTGAATCAGTACATCGTACCTGGACGAAGGCTGCAGATCGGTGAGCAGGACGCTCTCCTGATCACCTGTAGCCGTCTTTGTTAGGTGCGACCATTTCTGAACCGGTGCGTCATAATCTCTATAGCTGATGGTGTAACTGCGCAGAACGCCGTTTCTGAGTTCAACCTGTGGAGGCTGGTCAGAAGAAAACATACACGGGTTCAAAAAAACTTATCATAACATTACAATTTTTACATTTCACACTCATCACTGTACCTTCCAGGTCACTCTGATACTCCGAGTGCTCACAGCCTGAAGTTGCAGATCAAGTGGTGGGCCCTCAGGCGCTGAGCAAAAGTGAAACTTAATGAGAATCGTTTTCTTAAATTTGGCAGTAGCTTCTAAAAAACACACCATTTTTAAAGAGCCTTGCAAAAGTACTAATTGAGTTTAATACTGATGTTCACAAAATCTCTACCTTCAATCGGATTGATCTTGAGGTATTTAAAAAAAAAAAGAATTTGCAAAAAATCATTATGTGCAAACCTGGGAGAGACAAACCATAGAAGAAGTAGTTTTAACACATGGCAGCTTAAAAAAAGCAAGATATCTTTTTTTAAAGTTTCCTATGTAAAAATGTTGAGATGTATGTATAATTTTCTCCTCATTTCACGTGAAATCCCAACAGAATGCTTTGAAGGCTGTGGTTGAAATTTGACAAAATGTGGAAAACCTTTGCTAGACACCATATATTAATGCCTGCCTGCTGTCTTTTACCTGCTTCCTGTGTCGTAAATGTCAGAACATTGCTGGCATCACTGGCCCCCACACTGTTAACAGCAAACACACAGAGGTCGTAGGTAGTGGCAGGACGTAAATCAACCAAAGTCACCTGAGTCTTGAAATCCTGAGTTCTTGCAGCGACACTCCAGGACGCTGTTAATAAAATGCAACATTAAGACCCAAATTACGTTGTCTAAAATGTTAATCTGTAATTAATTATGTAGCACTTCATTATGCTCACCATCGCTGCGTTTAAAATCAATCAGATAAACTGAAATGTATCTGCCGCCATCAAATGGAGGGCTCCAACCAACTGTGGCAGATCTTTGGTTCAGCTCTGTGAGTCCCACCTGTGGTGGAGAGGGGCGTCCTAAGGTGTCAAAACAACAAGGTAGAATATCACGAACACACATGAAACATTCAGTAATTTACTATTTTTGCATTATAAGAATACCTGGCACAACATAGAGAGTAGTCTCAACTTCCTGGTCGTTGAACCAGCCTGGTATTTCCACTCGACAGATATATTTGCCCGAGTCACCCTCCTGAACCTGTGTGATGGTGAGTGAGGCATCCCCATAATCAAGATTACCCCTGAGAACATAACGCCACGACAGCCTGTAGTTCACCCAGGTCCCGTCTGACTTCAACACCTGATTGTTACAGCCAAATGCAGATGTAGATCCTCTGGCCCAGCAAAAGGGCAGCCTGCCGTGTTCCCAAATATTATAGTTGCATGTTAGAGAAACGTCTGCTCCCACCGTTACTGTTGTGTGGTATTGACAGGTACAACCTGAAAAGAGGACGACTGATTAAAGATCAAGTCCTTTAATCGGTCTTCATTAAAATGTTCAATCTGACATCAGCTGTCTTACCTTTGAGAAGACAAAGGAGAAGGAGGCAATAGAAAGCAGAGAATTTCCTTCCCAAATGATCCATCTTATTCCTCTCACCTGGATCAGTAATTTTATTATCTATTCACGATGTCAGCTCACCCCGGTGGCATTCAGCCTTTAAATATGTCCCAGTTCCCTCAATATGCTCACCCCAGTGGCGTTCAGCCTTTAAATACGTCTGAGTTTCCTCAATATGCTCAAGCATCAAACTTTTGGTGGCATTAGCAGAAAACAATTAGTTCCTTTTCTTTGACTTAGGTTCCTTCTTTTGAAAATGTGGTTCCTTTCACCAGAAAAGGTTATCAGCACATCATCAGATTGGTAAGCTGTGCTTTTCACCAGAACAATGCACAGGCATATTGTTTTGTGTTACATGATCGACACTTTTATAGGGCAAGAGTGGGGATTCATGCTGGACAGGCTGCTGACTTCCTGCATACTTTTATCTATAAAAACACCCAAAATACAAAGAATAATTTTTCAGACATGAACAAATATGTAAATCAAGATTTACATATTTTATTATTTGCACAAATGCTGAATCTGAGGGGATAATTATTTTTTTTTTTAATCTCATAAAATAGGAACAGGAATGAAAATAGAAAAAGGGGATCTTTAATTTATTGATATTCTACATGATAACCTGATGGTTTCCAAAACAGATTCAAAATAACAACAAATAAATTAATTAGTATGATAATTCCATAACATAATAATTCAAATAGCTTTTTATCCCACCTTTGTTGGACTACATGTATAAGACAGTGCAGTTTCTATTCTGCCTCTATCAAAATTATTTTTGTACCACAGTGGAGAGCCCAGGACTGTGTATAGAGATTATTATATAGATCTTATTAGGGTTTTTACTCTTTATTTAGCAAAAATAACAAACTGCCTTGTTCTGAAGTATACAGTAAGGACCTTACTGTTGTGCATTTAGTTCTCTATTTTGTACAAACAGACATGGGCTTTTGTGTCTCTAATTCAGTATTGTAATGAAAAGATTTATGAAACACAACAGCATGATTAACTACAACATTTCTAACTTTGGAAATATTTTATTCTGTCTGACTGAAGAGCCGTTAGCAGACTTAGATGACTTGAAAATAAACAAAGTATCAAAGAACAACCGAGTGCTTTAGACTCATTGATACAGTTCAAGAGTGAAGGATTATTGTTTTATTTTCTGAGGATTGTAGAAAAAATAACTATCAATGCATCTCTGCCATACATATATTTTAACTGTTAGTTTTTCAAAAAATAAAATAAAATGAAATAAAAAATGGCTAAAGCAAAATATACTTAAACTTATATATAATAAATGCATTTTTAGCTTACTTTGCACTATAAAACAGGGATACACTGTGTGCACATTTTTCATCATGTACTATGTAAAGTATTTCCAGCAGGTGGCAGTATTTAACAAGAACTGAATTTAAATTGGATATAAACCTTCAGTCAATATTTAAAACACTGTTGGACAAATATGCTACATTGATGCACCTTTTAGTGGACAAAACAACATAAATGCATAATGTTAAAAAAAATTAAATAATAAAGCTATAGTAGAGAAATTGTACAACCAGTTACAGAATACCAATCACCGTAAAAATCTTAAAGGACCTTTGTATTTTTAACTTTCCTTTAGTATTAGACTGAAATATATGCAAAGGTAATATTAGCAATTTATCTTCAATAAAAAATACACTTTGGTATATTTAATATAGTTGGCATAATGAGTTTCCAAATGTTGATTGCAGGGTAAGTTTCACAGCTCTTGCAGTGGCTCAGATCCTTTGTAATGAATTGCTCCACTGGCCAGCCATCTGTAAGCAACAGAGCAGAATTGATTAGAAAAGCTACTGAATACACCTGAAAGGGATTGTTTAAGTTTTGAAACAATGGACTCAGCGGACTTGTTATCAGCAGTCAGTGTCTCGCCTAAAATTAGATGGCAGTGAGTCTTTTCAGAGAGGAAGCTGAGTTGGAACCATTTTAAAACAACCACAATCTCAAAAATATAATTTCAGATTTTATAAAACCGATCAATTATATTGTTTTTATTTATTTATTGTTTTCGCTGAGGAATGTGATCCACCCACAAGACTGTTTCATGGTGCAGGTGTACTACAAAATGAAGCAGGGTAACTATCTGAAGGAAAACTGATACTGTGAAAAAAATAAGACTAAATAATGAATCACATATGCATTAACTGCTTATATGTAACTGAAGCAGACTCTTAGCAATAATGCTGCTAGTTGAAGAAAGTGAAGAAGTTAGAAACAAGTTAAACATATAAAGCCAGATCATTCTTAAGATTGTGCTTATTTACCTGATTTGACATTAGCCATTCGCAGTTGGGTGCAGAAGACAAAACATGTTTCCATCGGCATATAGTGAAAATAATGACCTCTTGCAAAGCAGAACTTGTGCAGCTATCCAGCTCAAAATACACTTCCTCTACCAGAACACCCATACAATTAAATCAGTGATTGGAGGTGAAAAAAACACAACTTCCTGTAACAGAATGTGGCCTGTTTATTCTGATGACAAACACAATTTCGAATTTAAAAAGCCTGTCACACAAATAAAGCACCACCTCGAGATCTTTTTGTGAAGCAAACCCTTGTTGCACATGTAGATAACCAGTGAAAAACCTCCATCAAAGATGGCAGCATTATGAAGTAAAAGCAGAAATGAGAGTCTTTTGCTAAATCCCAAAGTCTGAGTCTTTGGACATTGTGAGGCAGATTGATCATCAGGGAGTATCAGGCTGTGTAACTTTAGTCTCACATATAGAAGTTGTTTCTTTGAGAAAACAGCAGTAAAATTAATGAAAATTAACATCTGCTAATCACACAGATATAGAATTTTCATTCTGAGTTATTATAAATTATGAAAGTAGTGGATATTTATCCACTACAGGAAACAGAATCCTAATTGATAATAACTTCAGATCAGAGAGCGGCATTTAAAAAAATAAAGATGACAGAAATAGCCTTTGGGCCAAACCTGATGTAAACTTGCCTTTAGCTCCACTATCCTCTTGACCCTTATCTGTTTTCCGAAACTGAGGTCATTCACCCAGCTGGTTACCAAGGCTAAGATCAACTTTACTGACAATTCAACAGAATCTCTTTTACCTTAATTGTCCAGATGAATAAACAAACACAAACACTTACATGTTCAGGCTGCCGTTTCTCTGTTTTATACCTGTGAATAGAGAATAAGGATCAGAGAAGTGCATGAAATTTGTCTGGTTGTTAATAAGGAGAGAAAAAGAAAAAGAAAAAAAAACTCACGTCGGAGTTGCCAAATAGCAACAGAAGCAACAATCAGTAGTATCAGCACAACCGGCACAACGATAGCAGATGTGTGACCACCACTTCTTGCTTCAATCTCCTGTCAGGCAAGATATATAATTAAGATAAATTCACTACACCAGTTTTTTAACAAAATACCTCAGCAACGAGACCTGAAATAAAATCAACAGTCTGATATCTGTTATGCTCATCTGATGTCCTCAGGTGGTAATAAAGTAAATTTGAACAGGAGGAATCGCAACTGAGAGACAAAGATTATCGTTCTTAATGGTTCAAACTAACTTTATGTTTCAAACAGTGTTTGAAACATAAAGTTAGGTTTAAAATGGTTTAAAATGGTTCTTATCCTCGTCGTAGTTGACATAAATATTGATAGCTTCTCACTTCAGTACATGCACAGCGATCCAGACAGTTGGCTACCCCATCTGTCACTGCAGTAATTTCAGGCATTGCTTTCATAAAATCATCACTTACTAGAAAAGCATGGCAGTTTTTCCAAATAGCAGAACTAGCAGGCTCTTATGCAATCTAGACAAGGATGGGGCCTGTTTCTGGTGACCGAGGTTCTCAGAAGGCATGCGTTAAAAATATTAAAACTTTCCCATAATGCGGTTCAGATGGTGAAAACAAATTTAATAGGGTTCAAGAGAAAGTGTTTAAGTAGCTATTTCATTCAGGTGAATGAAAAACAAAGTATAATGTCACAGTTCTGCTCAACTACCTGCTGAAAGAAGACTACTACTATTTTTTCCCCTATTTTTTTTAAGTTTGTTTAAAAACGTATGTTTGCAAGCCACCAGTGAAATCTCTGTAAAGCAGCAGAATGCAGGCCCGATTCAGCAGATAAACTGACTAATTAACCAAAACTTAGTTATTAGTTGTCAACATCATTATTATAAATATCTTTTTTTTTTCTGTGCAATTTTTTTACATCTTAAATCTGAATACTTTGTGCTTTGTCAGCCTTTTACCATATTCTGCTCATTCAGGACATTATGAACATGTCTTGAGGTATTGACATTTTCAACAGTTTATCTAATTCCAACTCTCCTTCAAACTCTTATTTCAGCCCTCATTCACATAATATTTTTATGTATTTTTTTTATACCCTCCTAAAATATATATTTTAAAATGTGATGATGTGAAATGCTAAAGATAAAGCAAAGCATGTGTACAAAGATATTACTCAGATGCAGCAGCAGGGGTAAATGTCGTTTTTTGCTTTTTGCGCTAACAGACACAGTTTGTAGCCACTAGTTGTAGTTTAATACTCACAGAGACGTCAGTAGTAGTGGATGTGGTGGGTGTCATGCTACTCGTTTGCTGATCTGTCAGACACACCCGAATGACAAATTAAACAGAGGGAAGATATAAAACTTTCTTTTTACAAACAAGCAGAAGTGATACATTTGCTAGAAAAACATAGGTAAGGAAATTGCTACTTGAGGAACCGCAACCACGTTTTGATAAGGCTGCATGTTTTTGAGGGGTGAAATTCAACCACAGGTTTCCTTCTGCTTTCTTGAAAATAGACAAAGTCTTCACTTGGATCTATTTCTGCTTTGCCATAAAGATCCATGTGGAGAATATCTATATCAAGTCTCCTTCAGCATTAAAACACATTCAAGTGAGAAGGGTAAGAAAACAATACCTCTTTCTTCGATGGTCACAGTGAGAATATTGCTGGCTTTACTGGTGCCCAGACTGTTTTTAGCAAACATGCGAATGTTGTATGTTGAAGGATTGATCTCTATTATCGTGGCTTCTGTCTCATTGGAGCTGAAATCTATAATAGCCTTTGT